AGACCTGATTCACCAGCAGTGGGGAGCTGGGAGGGACCAGAAACTCCAGGTAGGTAGGGCAGAGGTTTCTTTGGTGTCTATTAGCACTAGAGGGTCCCCAGAGGTCCCTAATAAGCAAGGCCTTAGTCTTTTGCTCCAGGTTTTTCTACGTAAGTGTCTTCAATATTTAAGAGCAACATTAAATGAACAAAAATGTGAAGGAGAAAGAGGTTTGAATTATTCATAGTTTCCTATTTTTATGACAAACATCAGATGATTTCAAAACATCAATAGGAAATAATAAACATGTAGAGTGGTTTATATAAGGCAGTCCTGTGCCATTCCAGAAACAAGGACAGCGCTACGCATGCCTCATGGGTGGCATGTAGCTTTCTGACTCACTACCAGCCCTGACAGCATCAAGCAGCTAAGCCTTCCTGGCCCTGGCTAACGTCAACCGCCGCCACAGTTTCTGTGCACCAACTCTACCCTCGTTAAGGGCAAATCTACTCTACAAAACAGGGGACAAATTATGGTCAGTTCTTGCATAAGCCAAACACAGATTGTTCTTGAGAGAGGAAAATGAAGGCCTTCGGTGAGCTGTACTCCTAAGGCATCTGGCCATGCTCTTTATCCACCCCCCAACAAATCACCGTGCATCAGTCACAAAGGAATCTGCTCCACAGTAACTGCAACTTGCTGGAAATAAGAGGAGAGAACGGACACTCATTTCCTGACTGGTCTGATTCTGCTATGAGGCAGGAGAGCTTGCAATTGATCTGCAAAGAGCAAAATGATCTCATCTTCAAGAAAAATCAGGAGGCTCTGCTGTACCTGAAGCAGTACAAATGAGTGTCTCTACTTCAATCCTAACTCAAAACATTTCCAGTTTCCTCTGAAAGGATGTTTCTACCTCTCGTTCACAGGGCCTGAGTATAATATGTCAAATGATTATGGTGAGCCTCTGATGGGAGGGCAAGACAGGAAGGGAACGCTCTGGCTCACTTTTTTCAAGGGTGCAGGGGGGCCTCCCTGAGTCTGACCCTTCCCCACACCTAGCACTGCCACCCCACCCGGCTCTATTCCTCCCCATGCCACCCCATATTCACACTCCCAGAAACCAGGCACCAGGGAGTTTCAGCAAGAAGGAAAATGGAGGCTCAAAGGCTCTGAAAGGTTGAGGTTAAGTGGGTACCCTGTGGGGGATTCCAGGGCCTACACACAGGCTTACTGTACTCACAGTCTGCCACCCCTCTTCCCCTAAAATGGGATCCCCATTACTCAGTGGGTCCCAAATGCCTGTCTGGTAAATTCAAGAATCATCAGGGGGGCTGACCGAGTGGTGCATTGGTTAGAAGTTGGCTTGGGACACCAGCTCTGAGCAGCATGGCCCTGGTTCGGATCCCACATGAGGGCCAGTGACGCTGCGCCCTCTACAGCTAAGACGGTGAACAACAGCTCGACCTGGAGCTGGGCTGCCGTGAGCAGCCAGCCGTCAATGGCCAGCAAGTGACTGCCTCACCCTGAAAGAGCGCAATGATCACAATACCAACATGGGCCAGTGAAGCGATGTCCTCCACAACTAGACTGAAGAACAAAAGGACAGCAACTTGTCTGTTCCCCTTCCCCGATTCCCCAACGCTGTTCCCTCCCCAATTCCCCAGTAAAATCTTTAAAAACAAACAAAAAATCATCAGGGAAGCTTTTTTGACGTAAAGATTTCTGGGCCCTACCCTGAGCAATTTGGATTCAACATAGGGAGTGAGGGCTGCAGCTGGCAATCTGTGTTCTTCAAAGGCTTCCCTGGAGACTGCCCAGCTTGGGAATCTGTGCTGGTGACCTCCAAGATCTGGAGGGCTACAATAGCCCTGGTTCCTCCAGGGAGGAGGGTCCCTCAGGTCCCAGAGGGGTTGGTGGGGGAGCAGCACAGCGTCACACTCCACGGTAGCTACCCTCTGTTTATTCCGGGAGGAGAACTCAGAGGAGCGGCTGCACGGGAGCTGTGTGCACTTACTGACTGCAAAGCGAATGCCAACCTTTCTGCCAGGGAAGGGACCTGGACTGGTATGAACTTGCCAGGAGATTAGTGAGAAGCCCACGTGTGCAGAAAATCGATACCCAGGAAGACTGCAGGTGGGCGGTTCACTTAGAGTGGAGCTGGATAAAGCCCAATGTCTTGGCTTCCAGCAGTCCTGTGCCTCTGCACTGAAGGGCAAGACACTTGCTTTCGCTTTCCCCCTCTGTAAAAATGTGGGGAGTTATTCTAACCACTTCAGGGGAACGTGAGAGGACAGAGTATAAGACTAAGCAAAACGCAAAGGTCTGGTGTTTTTTTTCTTCTTCCTATGAAAGCCATTCCTTCACCAACAAGGTTATACTGTAAATATCCAAAAACTATCTTCCCTGAAAGAGGGCTTCCTGTTATTCATGCTCAATGAATAGTTCTTTACTGATTGACAGCATCTCCTGCTGAAGCTAAGGATGCTTGGAGGGTCCTCTTAGCAACTCCAAACGGCCCTTTGTTTGTGCCAGGGCCCTTTTCTCGTTCTGCATTAAGAAACCAATTTCTAATATAAAATAACACTGAAGGATTTTCCATTGTATTTAGTTTGGAATAAGGTGCAATTCATATAAGCGAAGCTGAATTAGTCACCGAGATGTTCTATGTATATCAAAGCATAGGTTTGAAAGCAATGAACCCTTTAGCTCTTGTAATACCGAAGAGCTAATGAAGTGAATGTTTCCTCCTTATGTGTTGGTACCATGCTGACAAATCTCAAGTAATTAATTTGGTAAAGAGAATTTTTTTCTTGAGTTGATCACATCTAGCCATCACCATCCAAGTAATCATAGCACAGAAATCAGCCATCTAATACTTAAAGGTACTGGGAGGACACACAAAAAAGTATTCCAGCCTGTACGCTTCACGGTTTCATAAAAAGTCAAGACATTTCTACCTTCTTCTAGATATAGATACACTGCCTCTTCTCAGGACTTACTGGTGTGGTTATCTCTTTGCTATTAGTACTAAGTGATCTTTGGAAACACAATTGAACTCTCTGGGTTTCTCAGTAAAATCAAAGAGGCTGTGCTAAAAGATCTTCAAGGACCTTTCAACTTCAAAATTCTGACTTGAATTTTCAAATCAACTTTTCCAACATCATTATTCTGATTTAGTAGCTCTTATTTTCTATTCATTGAGAATAATAGTAACTCAACCTGTTTTTTTCTACCCTTAAGAAGTTTTATGAAACCACAGCCTAACCCATTCACCGGATGGGTACACAGAGATCTCAACTTGCTGGGTGAGTTTCATGTTGAAAACAGTGCTGACAATCTGGGTCTTATACTGCATTCCCAGTGGATACGTTCAAACTTGACCTTCACTTACAACAAAGGGTGCCAGCAGATTCTGACTGTCCCTATCTCTATAGGAAGGAAGCCTCAAATTTTTTTTTTTTTTTTAGCCATACTAAAGATCACATCCACACAGACTGTAGAAACAGGGCTGGTTTGAAATGAGCATTAGTTTCACCCAACAATGGGCTGAACAAATACACAACAAGTATATATAATTATGCCTCTTGTACTAATTACAGCCTCTAATACTAATTTTCAGAAATAAATATACCATTAACTTCTTATAAATGTAAATTGCTGAAGGTACAATGTTTCACTGTTGGGCACCAGAGTTTTGTCAATATTTTAAAGAAAAAGGTGCATAAAAATGAAGGTGGATAACATCATTCTTTCTTCTAATATAATGACTTAATTAAGCATTAAGCATTCTTAATATTGTGAATTTTTACGTCTTCAAAATAACTTACCAGCTCTTTATAGCTTTTATTTTCATTTTGCCCAGACAGCATTAACAGTTACCCTTTAAACATTTCTTTTTCCCAAGCTTTTTATTTTGAAAAAGCTCAAACTTATAGATAATTGCAAGATTAGTACAATTATATTTTTAAATATTAACAGGCTCATTTCAAATGTTTATTTTCAAGTTTTCATGCTCCTAAGGGTTAAATATAATCCTTACATATATGTAAATGAAACACACTTCTGCTATATCCACCAAAGTAGTACCACTCAGTTATCTGTGTATTAAAAACAAGTCCTAGACGTTTTAATACCATAACAAGGAAGGGAATGTATGCCATTTAAAACAATTTCTCTTTCTCGCCAGTGTGAGGCAATGTCCTAAGGCGATGGCCAACTATGAGACAGTCTAACATCTTTAGTTTAGAAATTGCCTGGGAGAAGAGCATCTTGTTTTTAACAAGTCATACTAAAAAAGGTTCTCATAGAAAACTGCCTCAAACAATACAGTTTTAATTTCAAATATAAACAGAAAAAGATAAGGAATGTATCTACATCAGTGTCCTGAGTCACGCTGTGTCTTGAGGCAGGCCGAGTAAAGGCAAGACATCCCTCAGCCACGTTAAGGAACCAGAGGAGGTAGAATTCCTGAGACCACCACCCAAGCTTGCGAGTGGACCCTGGCGTCCGCCCGAGTGAGATCAGCTGAGAAAAACCAGGATCTCTGCCCCGGAAGCCCGGCGGCGTTGGGGCCTGGCCCGGCCTGGGGAGCTGACCAGAACGGCCGCCCCTCGTGGAGCCCGTGCCAGCTCCGGCCACCGGGCCCTGGGCCCTTCGCATCGAGCGGGTGGACGGGACCTGATGCCACCGCGCGGGTCGTACTTCCCGGGCCGACCCCCAGAAACCCCACGCGGCCGGAGGAGCACTGTCCCCTCCGGGGCCTCCCCCTCGCCCCCACGCCGGCCCAAGGGCGGGCCCGAAGAGGGGGCTCGTAGGAGCGCAGCAGGCCGACACCCGGGAGCTGGTGCCGCCCGAGGTCTGCGTGCCCCAGGTGGCCTTCACCGACCTCCGGAGCTGGGGCGCGGGCGGGCTGCGGGCCGGAGGGCACCCGGCGCCTCGCGTCCCTGCAGCCCGGCCCAGTTCCGCCGCCTCCGCCCGGCCCTGCTCTTCCACTCCTCGTCGAGAAAGGGGGTCTGGCTCACCTTGGGGCCCTCTGAGGGCACGCGCGGGTCGTTCCACGTCGTGGTGCGGCTGTTGTGGTCCACGAAGAAGGGCCAGCCTGTCTGCGGGTCGACCTTGATTTCCCAGCCGGGGGGCAGGGGGTCTCGGTCGCCGGCGCCGTTGCCGGACGCCATCTGCACCATCGGCGAGTGGGTGGCAGCGCTCATGCTGGGTCGGGGTGGGCCCGGAGGGGAGGCCGCCGGGGTGCCGGGTCGCGGGGTGCGGGGCCTCCAGGCGCCGAGTCGCTCGCGGGCCGCGGCCGGAGCTAGAACTGTGCGTGCCGCCGACGTGTCCGGGAAGCCGGCGCCGGGCACCTTTATGAATTAAAGGAGGGGGTGACGTGGCCCGAGAGGGGTGGAAGTGTCTGGAAATAGCCTCCTCGCTGCCAAAGGGGAAGGAGGAGATAAAGGGAGGTAGCAACTGGCCGGCTAGAAACTTCTGGTCCCATCCAGAGAAGTTGGCGGCGGCGCGGGTTGGAAGCGGAGCTCCGCCCTGAGTCATCCGCTATAATCGGGGCGGGGGCTCGGCCCGGCCGCCCCTCCTCCACCCCCTCCACCTCCTCCTTCGCCCAGCTGCCCTGGGGTGGGCAGTGGTTCTCCTGCGGGATCCGCCTGCGGCGGGTTTCGGCTTTCAGACTCGCTCTCTCTTCTTGGAGCTGCGTGGGTATTTCCGGGGCTGGTAGTCCGGGCGCGGAGTGCCTGCTGCGGCTCCTCGGTATAAAAACAAAGTCGTCGTTCGCCTTTGAAGTCGCAGGTTTTAATCTAGAGTTTCGCTCACCCGCCACCCCCTGTCCTCCCGCTTAGACTGATACTCGGAACACTGGCGTCACTCAGCTACGTTTTAATCACCGTTCTTCATGGGCTTGAGAGCTCTGGAATGTTGATCGGACACTATAACCAAGCCATGGAGAAAATGGAAATGTGAATGGAAATTCACCTGCCTGCATTTTGAAGCCTAAAGAATGAAAGGTTGCATCAGTCTGTGGTTTTAGGCTCTTGAACCTCTTCTATCAAATATAGAAACTATTGTTTCAGTAAAAACTGTAAAGAAAAATCACATCCTTTTGGGTTTTGGCCTTTCTTATCGTAGAAGTTGGTTCTTGCTATATTAAATCTTGACCTTTATTTGGAAAGTAAGGACCAAATCAAAATCATGAAAAATGTTTGTTTGGTTGATTCAATTGTGGTTGCACTCGTAACCTCAACCAAACACCCCAGTTCCTCTGAAGGAGAGAGAATGTGCCCCTGAAGGGAGAATGTTAGGGAGGTTCCATTTCAGATCCTTAGGCATGCAGGCTCATTCTCATCCCCAGAAACATTTTGAGAAGTTGCCTTGGACTGTTGGGCCCAATTTTTTAACTCAAATTCTGAGAATACCCTGGAACCCTCAGAGACAACACCTCTNGGGGCCCTCTGGCATCCCAAGCCAGCTCTTAACCAACGCGCCACTCGGCCCTCGGCCAGTCCCTAAACCTATTCTTATCTTGAAAGATATGACTGAGTATGGCTGAAGAGTTGTTTGCCAAACAGAGAAATGATAAGAATTATGCTTTTGGTGTCTCTGCCACCATGTGGTTTGCACTCTGGGGATTAGGCAGATATTGGTCACACGTCCTGTGTTATTTCCAGTAGATACATGCAGTTGCTTCCAGAGGGTCCAACCAGTCTAACTGTTCTACTCTTCCATTCTTTGGGGATTTATTGAATACTTCCAGACAATACTCCCTAAATTTGGCACCAGGGAAGGATTCAGACATGAAAGCCCTGACCTGTGCCTTCCAAGATGGTAGACTCTACTTAGGGAAATAAGACACCTATGGGGGTGGGGGAGCCGGCAGAGTGGCTCAGCTGGTTAAGAGTTGGCTTAAGAGCATGAGCTCTGAGCAACAGGGCCTCCGGTTCGATTCTCATATAAGCCAGTGACGCTGCGCCCCAAGCTGAGCTGTCGCTAAGCTGCCTACAGGTGGCAGGATGGCTCAGCTGGTGTAACAACAAGATTGCCTGTTTGATGGTGAGCTATGCCCACCCGCAACTAAGACTGAACTCGGCACCTTGAGCTGAGCTGCTACCCAGATGGCTCAGTGGCTACAGCGTGTGCTCTTAACAAGGCCGTGGGGTTCAACTCCCACATGGGATGGTGGCTAAGCCCACCCACAACTAAGATTGAACACAGCACCTTGAGCTTAGAGGCCATGAGCTGCTGACAGGAAGCCAGATGGCGACTGGCTCCCTCCACAACGAAGACTGAAGAACAATAATTTGGCTGGTTCCCTTCCCCAATTCCCCAACACTGTTCTCCTCCCCCAATTCCCCAATAAAATCTTAAAAAAAAAAAAGACTCCTGTGGGTTTTAATTTTATATGTCAACTTGGCCATGGTGTCCACATATTTGGTCAAACATTATTCCGAATGTTTCTGTAGAGATGTTTTTTGGATGAGATTAAGGTTTTAATTGGTGGGCTTTGATTAAAACAGTTTACTCTCTTTGATGTGGGTGGGCCTCATTCAAGTAGACTGCTTTTGAACTTGGACTGCAACTTTTCCTTGGGTCCCCAGCCTGTTGGCCTACCCTGCAGATTTTGGACTTGACCCTCTACAATCCCATGAACCAGTTCCTTAATCAATCAATCAATCNGACTCTCACCTTGAGTCTCCCAGGGGGCATGGCCCTGCTGACACCTTGGTTTCCAATTCCTGGCCCCCTGAACTGTGAGACAGTAAGTTTCTGTTGTTTTAAGACTCCCAGTTTGTGGTGCTTTGTTAAGTCAGCCTAGGAAACAAATACTGGTACAGCAGCCAGACCTTCCATCTTTATCGTCCACCGCGAATGTCACTCTGTAATCCATAGCAAGAACCACCCTTTGGAACATGATTGGCAGATTCTTTCATTTGTCCCTCATCAAGCACAGCAGCACAGACAGGGAGCCTTTCTTGATTCCTCATCTCCCCACCAGGCAAAAATCAACCCTCTTCCTGTTTGAGGGACTGTCTCCCCTGAAAAGTACTAAATTCTCAACTCATTCAAAGTGGAACTCTTAAACGTGTTTTTAGATGATGTTTCTTCCTTCTGCTTATCCTCCAAATCTTAAAATCACGTTTCAGCCATGTCACCCCGACTAATAAATGGAGAGCTTATTGAGCCAAAAATCAATATATAGTGATAGAAATGTAGGAAGGGAGTAAAAAAATGTCTAGTTGCGCATTATTCATTCACTACAACAAATGTTGGAGGGCCAGGCTCTAGGGCTATAATGATGAAGGAAATGTAGGCTTGGCCCGTTTTGTGGAGGCAAGAGTCCCAGGAAGAGTTAAATTACATTGCGATCTGGTAAATACTGTTGCAAAGATAAAATGTTTTCAGAGCCTAAAAGATAGCATAATCAACCCAGCCTGGTGACTCTGGGAAGCCTTTGGGGATGAATGGGCATTTGTATTGAAAACATTTTTCTTTAATAATAGAGGTGCATGATACAGAACTCAAAAGGCACCAACGGATACTGTATTAATTGGGTGGTTTAACACAATAGAAATGGATTGTCTTACGCTTCTGGAAACTAGAAGTCCAAGATCAAGGTGTCTGCAAGGTTGGTGCCTTGTAAGGACTGCAAGGGGACAATGTGTTCCGAGCCTATTTCCTGGCTTCGAGTGGTTTGCTGAGAATTGGCTCAGTCTCTGCCTTCATCTTCACACAGTGTTCTCCCTGTGTCCAAATTTCCCCTTTGTATAAGGAGACATACGTATATGGGATTAAGGGCCCACACTACTCCTCTATGACCTTCTCTTAGCTAATTCCTTCTGCAATGACTCTATTTCCAAACAAGGTCACGTTTTGAGATATTGAGGGTTAGGACTTCAGCATATGAATTTTGTGGGTCACAATTCAATCCATAACAGGCACTCAGTGAAAAATAAATCTCCTTCCCTCTGATGTCCCAAGCCTCCCAGGTCCCTGCTCTAGACACCCAGCATCCCCAGGTTACTAGGTATTCTTCCAGGGTCCTCGAGGCGTTCACCAACATATATGTGCACATTCTACCCACTCACAAATGTCAGCACGCCACATGCTCTGGCATTCTCCTTACTCTTCACTTAACAATACCCCTGCAAAATTTTCCACATCAGTCCATACAGACCTTCCTTTAAGTGGCTGGATAGGAAGGAGTCCATTATTTATTTAACTGGCCTCCTATTAATAGACATCTAGATAGTTCCCAATCTTCAGCTATTACAGACAATGCCACAGTGTATATTCTTGGGCACGTGTCATTTTGCATGAATGCATGAGTAGGAGGTCTATTAATACCTGGAAGTGGAAGTGCTTGATCAACGGACTAGGGCATTTTAAAATTTGAGATGTTTTGCCAAATTGCTCTCCAAGGAGGTCAGAGAAGGTTGGCCTTGCACCAGCAGCATTCACAGCACACGTTTCCCCACCATCTTACCAGCTGTGGTAACTAACATTCCAATCTTTGCCAATCTTGTATATTCCGTTTGTACTTTTAATTTGCATTTCTATTATGAGCATAATTGAGCATGTTTTCATCTGTTTCATGTTTAAGAGACATTTGGAGTTCCTTGTCTTTGAACAGTCTGTACCTATTCTTTGCCCATTTTTCTACTGGGACTGAGGAAGAATGAAAAGGATTTTTACAGTTGCAGAAGAGGAAGTCAAAAAGGGCACCTCAGGGCCGGCCGAGTGGCGCGTTGGTTAAGAGCTGGCTTGGAATGCCAGAGGGCCCCGGTTCAGATCCCACATATGAGGGCAGTGACACTGCCCTCTACAGCTAAGATGCTGAACAACAGCTCAACCTGNAGGTGATTAGGTCATGAGGGCAGAGACCTCACAAATGGGAGTAGTGCCCTTATTTTATTTTATTTTTATTTTATTTATTTTTTTAGCTGAGCCATCCTGCCACCTGTTGGTAGCTCAGCGGCAGCTCAGTTCAGGCCAGGAATCAAACTGGCGAGGCTGTTGCTCAGAGCTCGCACTCTTGAGCGAGCTCTTAACCAACTGAGCCACTTGGCTGGCCCTAGTAGTCCCCTTATTTTAAAAAGACCCCAGAGAGCTCGCTCACCCCTTCCACCACGTGAGGACACAGCAAGTAAACAGTCATCTGTGAACCCCAATGCAGGGCCTCCAGCAGACATCAAATCTACTGATGCCTTGATCTTGGACTGTCCAGCCTCCAGAACTGTGAGAAATACATTTCTGTTGTTTATAAGCTACCCAGTCTATGGCATTCTATTACAGCAGCCCAATTGGACTAAGACACCAGGCCTTTTGGCATTCATTTTTCCAGATCAGAAGCAGAAATATGACTTTGGATTCCCCTTTCTCTCTTATCATCCAAACATCACCAAGACTGTAAATTCTACTTCCTCCGTGTTCCTTGACTCTGTGCACTCTTCTTTTTCTTCAGTGCCACCAGCCTGGTCCAACTCACCCTGACCTGTCATCCGGACCCTGGCAACCGCTTTTAATCTTG